AAACATTGTGGTGTGTCACCTTTGACACGCGTGTCATAGGTTCGCCATCACTGTTCTAATTCCTTCCATGTGGTCTGTCAAGTGGTACCTTTTCCTCCTGACCATCTCAGGTGATGCTGGTGAAATCTTGCTATGGCCTTGGTCTTAACCTGGACAGAGGAAAAAGAAAGGATCCAAAAGGAAATTTGCTGTCCCCTTTTTTGTTGCCATAGGGTTATCTCTGGAATGTGAAGAATGCATTGGAGTAGATTATTGTTCTGGGGACATGCTTATGTGCGCTCCTGGGAAAGACAGATGCAGCGTTACTTATTTGCGCACCCCATTCGGTAAGTACAAGAAACTGCCTCTCCTACAGGCCCCAGGGAGTTTGGAATGGGGAAACCATCCATAGGATATGTCAGGAGCTAGATGTCCAAGAAATAGGCAAGGCCAGAACCAAATTTTTCATTTATCCTGACTGTAACTAACATTATATTAATTAAATATAGTTAATACTTGTTATGGGCAGAGAAGTATGGTAAATTAAAACTTCAGTGGCAGATCCCTGCTTCCAAGACCTCTTTCCACTCATTCTCTTTGGATTGAATTCTGAAGGGAGAAATCTTTGGTGGAAGGACTAAGAACTCCTCAGCTAGAAGACCCCACTGGATTTGCCCAACAGATTGATTGGCTTTTGAAAATGAAAAAGAGCACCAATGTGTTTCTTGGTCTGACTACCAAATGCCTCCCACTAACTCTGCAGTGCCCATCACTGTCTGTTCTGTTGGTAACACATTTTCTCTCTTTTCATCTCCACAGGAATATCACAGATTATAAAGAGTTGTGTCCCATCCATCGTTTGTGACAAAGGCATTCAAGTAATTAATCTGGGCCGGACAGGAACAGTGGTTGTCCAGTTGACATGCTGTGAAAGAGATGAATGTAGAAGGGTTGTTCCTCCAGGTATGTCAATGTTAGGTTCTTATCGCTCAGCTTTCCCAGTCTTGCTCTCCACTTCAGCTGACATCATGATTGGATGGAAAGGTTGATGAAATTCTCATGAGTAAGGGCAGACACCTTGTATCCCATTAATTAAGAGATGTTTGAGAGGTGGCTGTGAGGTTCAATGCATAATCATCTCTGCAACTAGGAATTCTGGGGAGATATGGTCCCAACATACTTGGAAGCTGCAGTTTAGGAAATTATATCCTTTCCTTATTCTTGGGACTCAGACTTGGATTTCTTCCCAAGGGAAGAGATTGCAGGGACACATTCCCCCATGGAGCTTTTTCAAAACAAGAAATGGGATCAGGTGGTGACATTGCAAAGTAATGGAGAAAAGAGTAAGCAGAGGACTGAAAGCAATAAAGAATATCAGCACCTACCACACTTTGCAGTGATAAATTAAGCTCAAAACTCTATCTAAAGCAAGAGTAAAAGTTTTCCCAAGCATATTTGGTACATGTTGGGGAATTAGAATGTGTATGCATTTGTACAAAATAAGCCTTGGTCAATTCAGGTTTCATGTTACCCATCAGAGAGGAGATGATGCTGTATGAGTATCCTGCTCATAAGAACACTGCTCAAGCAAGTTCACTCAACTAAGCCCCAGACTCAGAACCTGCAGTTCTTCACTGAGATCATAGAGACCCTGAAAGACATTGTCATGAATATTCTTAATAAGTGTTATTAATAATTAACAAAAAAATAACATTAAGTGCTGTGATGATTCCACATCAGACAAAGTGGACAGACCATTGGATGACATCCCCTTCTTTCTATGCACAAGTGAATTCCCTCTGATCGTTGTGGCCCAAGGTTGCATATCAAAGGAAGCAAGTCTGTTAGAGTATAGTCTTCTTGAAAATGTGGCATAAACTTAGAGTTCGTGGTTGGTCAGCCATATAAAGGTTCAGAATTTTAAAAAAATCCTGGTGAAGACAATGTTTTCCTGATTATTCCCCTTAAAGCCCTTCTCATTGAGAATGTATTTGTTTCTCATCCCAAGTCTGACTGTTCCATCTTTTCTATAGCATTGCCTGAAAAGACGGTGCCAAATGGGAAGCAGTGCCCAGCATGCTTTTCACTGCAAAAAAAATGTAATGAAGATGTTGCTTATTGCAATGGAGATGAACTGTATTGTGCTGCAGGATTTCTGGATTCAGGAATTGGTAATTATCTCTTTAGACCAACCTTCCTTAAATTACATTTGCTTGATTTTGGATGACATCTGCCATCAATCAAAAGGGGTAGAGCTGTACCTCAAGATTGAGGAAGTCTGTCTTCAATTCCAACAGGTTGGGTTCATACATTGTGCAAAGCCATGATTTGTTGGGTGTTGTTGTTGTTGTTTTGTCCCTTCAAGTCAGTTTTGACTCCTGGTGGTTACCTGGACTAGTCCCTGCAGTTTTCTTAGCAAGGTTTTTCATATAATTTTTATTGAAAGTTTTAATAGCAATAAGAAATAGTAATACAAACGAAAACAGAATGAAAAAAAAGAAAGAGAAAGGGAGAGAGAACAAGAAAAAGCTAAAAGTGCGGGGAAAAAAAGTAGAAGAAAAAAAGAAAAATGACAGAAAGATAGAAAGATAGAAAGGCGTAGCTTCCAATCTTCTTCACAGCAGTTATAAGTACAATTATATTTAACCTCTCTAAAGTTATATCATGACTCTCTTCTTTCTATAATCTCTCTAATCATCAAAACCATAAATTATAAGTTCATTTTTTCTTTTTTATGAAAAAATGCCATAAAGGGTTTCCAGCCACCAATAAACATAGATAATTGTCTTTTCTTTAATCAAACAAGTCAATTTAGCCATTTCAGCAAGTTCTGTCGTCTTTACCAACCATTCCTCCATTGTAGGTATTGCCAAATCTTTCCATCTTTGTGCATACAATAATCTTGCTGCAGTTATCATATATAAAAACAATGTTTCATGGCTTTTTTTCTAACTGTTTATCCAGCAGTCCCAGTAGGAAAAGTACTGATTTCAGCTGAATGTCTTTAAAATCCTCTGAATCACTGTGTGCAATT